GGTTTAACACAGAAACATCTTCAGCCCAACTGTCAGTGTAAACTGTGGTTTCATTCAGTACAGTACACGTGCACTATTCAGAAGACACCTGCAGGGCAAGTCTGAGCTCACGTCATCAAAATTCAGCAGCTGACTCCGTTTCCCAGCAGCTGAATATATAGTGAGTGTGAAATTGTTCATTCTTCGGAACTATTATATATATATACACACACACACACATATATATATATATATATATATATATATATAGCAGTACCAAATTTACCCACCACACTGGTTTCACTACTCTCTCCACACAGCCTAATGAATAACACTGCTGTGCATCACAGAGCAGAAAAAACAACAACAATTTAATGGATTGATTACTCTAAGTTGTATTCATCATTCCGGATGATGAATGGCTTCAACAGAGCAGTGAGCTGATGAATGCACTGCCTTGCAAACCGGATGGCTCTCCCTCAGGTCACAACCAAACTCTCCACAACAGTTCATGGAAATCATTTTAGTCCTAATCCTGTTAAAAGCACTCACCACTTAACACCCGTGGCACAGGCACAGGCATTACGTAATCATTCGTCTCAAAAAGGCAGGGAGTCCTTCACATCCATTACATTCAGGCACATAAATAATACTATAATTATATGTGTAATTAGATAATTCAACGTGACGTGCAGAACAAGCTGACCAGCAGCAGCTGAGTGTCAACACTGATTTGCTTCTCTAACACACTGGTCCCGGCCGGCTGCCAGATTTCTGATAGAACTCGCAAATAGCTTTCTGTAAGTAGAGCCCAAAAGTGTAGGGTTATGGAATTATATTTAGGTTAATAACATTTTATGAAATTTTAGGTGAATTCTCTTTATTTTGTTTTTTATGTTTTTTTTTGTCAATTGAATAAAATGAAACAAATGATATCACTGAAAACCTACCTGAGTTAGTATGTAACTTCTCTGGGCTTCTTCCATCATCACCAGACTTGCATTGATGTAGTCATTATCTGTGCTCTTCAACTTCACCCGACTGTGGTCAACTGCAGAAAGACAGTGAGACGACAAGTTACAACTAAATATTTTGGTAGGGAATGTTTATTACTGACAGGGACAGTCAGAGGTTTGGAGAAATGTCTATTGTGTAAACAAAACACTTCCCATTAATGTTTACTCACACGGACTGACGTCCCTGTATCTGTTTCGGTTTCTATTCTCTGGATACTTTGCCACTTTGTAGGAGCACTCGTGGGACTGGTTCCTGATTTCCTGAAAAATGGGAAAAAAGACTGAATTCTGCCAATTGTGTCGCTACGCAATGACTGTACTGCACTTCAAATTGCCAGCTCTATGGAACCTTTCCTATGGCAAATTCAAGGACATTTCAATCATATTTTTTGGTCTAACAGTATATATTCAAATCAATCTGATTGTGATTAGGAGTTTGTAGGAAATTAAAATTGAACTAAATGTATGAGGCGAATTTGCCTTTAATTACAGCTTACCTGCTTTTTAAGGACACGACTACTTATGTCGACATTCTACTAGTACGGAATACGAGCAAGTTGGATTAGATTCAAACTAATAAGGTGAACAAACAATGTTTTTTCTTTTACTGCATAGGAAAACACATCTTTGTATACAAAAAACCGAGCCCTTGAACTTTACTTTTAGTGGGGAAAAAGAAGTATGATCACAGTCAAAATAAAAATGTTAATGTCCTGTCAAAAAAAAAAAAAAAACAGACAAGAAAGACGGACGTCGGTCTGATGTTGACATTTTGCTCTGGACTATATTCTACACTACAGTTGGACTATAGTTCTACACAGGTGTAGAACTAGCTAAATGTCGTTTATCTGATGAAAAACCACTATTCAATATTAAAAGCTTAATGTAACGTACGTAAGGTACGTTGTCAACTGCATAAGGGGTTAAAATAACTTTTGACTTTGATTAAACACAGCTGTCAAAATGTATTACATACAATACATCATAAATTATAAACTAGCCAAGTCGTTAGTGCTTAAAATAACACTGACATTTTGTTAGCTCTATGCTAACAGTGCTAACATACTTACTAAGTACAGTTTGTGCCACCGGCCCTCAGAGTCTATGTCCTCAAACTCCTGCTCCATTTTCAATGTGACGGCGCCAGTCTGTTCTTAATACGAGTAGTTACAGCTGTCCCACCTTCTACCTCATTACTTTTAGCCGGACCTGGGACGTTTTTGGTCTCTAAGTGTTAAAAGCAGCACTTCTGTGCGCTAGCGACCTCTGATTAAACTGTTTGCTACCCGTTATCGCTGAGCTGCAGCTGACGTCTGATAAAGAGGTGAGTGCGCATGCGCACAACAGGGCTCTTCAGTGGCTGTCACAGCCAGAACAGAGATGTTCCGTGTACGGACGAGATGAGTAAAACAAGACCTGAGACGCGACATATTCCATTTTTAAATAACTAGATACCGTAGATAAAAAAAAGGTTGAACAGCTTTTAAAATTTTTTTTTATTTTTAAATAAAAAGAAAAACAATACAAAACTGCATCTCGTTTTTGACCACTGTACTTGGAAAGTCAGCATACAAGTCTCCTTTAAATTACACTTAAAATGTTATTTGAATTTTTTTAATCACAATAACTAAATAGTTGGTCATATTAAACAATTTTCTCAACTAAAAAACCCATACATCGTAAAAAGACAAACAAAATAATATTAATAAATAAATAAAATTTAACAAAATAAAAAACACAAGCCAATGTAACAAAAGCAGACTTTATTTTCATATGTTATTTTGGAGTAAAGCCACAGTGTTGACTGTTGTGAGAGCACTAGTTGGTATTAATGTTGTTGACATTTTTACAAGCAGGATCTTTCTTTACTCCAGCTGGGAAACCTCGTGGAAGTAAGCTCCAAGCATCTTTATTCCCTCAATGTAGTTGGATCTGAAAGAAAATCAAAAATATTTTTTAAATCATTGGTATTTTAGAATTAGAATTATTTCAGAATTGATCATTTTCTGTCCTGAATATCTGGTAAAGAAAAAAAAAACTGTAACTGATAAATACTGCAATATTTACCGGTTAATTTTCTCATTCTGGGAGTGGGCACCATCATCAGATGATCCGACTGGAAGCAGCATGACGTTACGGCCAGTGGCCTCCTGGAAGGTCAGAGTGACGGGGATGCTTCCACCTTCACGAGTCAGGTCAGGCTCCACACCAAACACTGACAGACAAAGATTTTAAAAATAGTGGCAGATGAATCCGCATGTGGACTGGTACAAAACTGTTTCAATTACAACGTCAACGTTTGGGTAGAATCTTTGCTGAGATTTGATTTTGAAGAAGCAAAGGGTTGATTATAGCAATACGATCATTTACTGCCCCCTTGTGGTGGAGACTCAGTATTGTCCCAGCAATTTATCTCATCTTTGACAGCCAAGCTCTAAAATTTCCTTCATCCCTCTAACCAAGCCCATTTTGAACATAAGCAATTTAACATCACGACATTATTTATTACTACATGTCTGTACCTGTTTTCATGGCTCTTCTTCCAGCCATGTAGTGTGGGTGGTTGTAGTCAGACACCCAGGCTTTTGCTCCATGGCCCATGTACACTTTCAGGTTGTTTGGGGATTTACGTTCTGCAAATTTCTTCTCAAGATGACTGATAACCTTTGAAAATGAAAGTTAAACAAGAAATTCAACTGATTTTGCTGATAATTTAATAGAATGACTCCACTTTCACTTTCACCTGTGTTTAGGATTTACCTGTTTTTCTACAACTTTGGGGTCCATGTCAGGGACGAGGCGGATGGAAAACTTTCCAATGACCTTCCTGGGGATAACAGTTTTGGCTCCTGCTTCAGAGAAAGCGCCTTCAATACCATGAAGAGACAGAGATGGGAACCTCCAGCGGTGCATAAGGATTTTCTCCTGCAGGGGCGAAGAGTCAGTTACATATTCTTGGTTAAAATTATTAAGGGATTTACAAGAAAACTATCACTCTAGAAAAACCACAATATGTGACATGACATTTCTGTTAGTATCATGATCTTGCCTTGCTATCGTGTAGCAGCTTGCAAACACCCACGTCACCACAGTACTCATGTAGGTCGAAATCTATTTTCTCGTACAGTTTTTTCTCCTCGTCAGTCACGGGGGCCACACTGTCGTTAATTCCAGGTATTAAGATGGCTCCCCTAGGATCTACGAGACTGTCTGTTCAACAGATCCAAACACATGTTTAGAAGTAAGAACAGAGACACACACTTCTGCATGAATTAAAAAAAACAACCAAAGAAAAAAAGCTGCACTCACCCATAAGTGCTATGAGGTCACTCATAGCCTCATGGACAGAGCCTCCGAACACTCCTGAGTGCAGGTCCTTCTCACCACACTTCACCTGTAAAATATTCAATGAATGAAAAAATAAAGATCACGCGGTTCAAAAATGCTGCAGTAGACTGGTGGCACAGTGAAACCTGTTGGAAATGAACAGATCACTAGAGTCTGACTCCACCTCAATGAAGAAGTAGCAGATTCCTCTCAGTCCATACGTGATGCAGGGTTTGCTCTTTCCCAGCCAGTAGTTGTCAGAGATGCAAACATAGTCCACGTCTTTGAAGAAGGTGTCTTTTCGTGCCATCACCAGTTCATCCAGACCCTCAGATCCGGATTCCTCCATCCCCTCGAAGCAGAATTTGATGTTAACGGGAAGCTCCTGAAAAAAACAACAAAAAAAACAAGACACGTATTAGAGGAAAAAAAATAAAACTGTTGCCATCATAATTCAATACAAACAATATTTTTTTCAGCTATCCACTGTGACTTGGTTTAATGATTAGTTCTGAATGATTAGGCTTATTTCATGCAAACACCTTTGAACCCTCTCTTGCTGACGACTCCTAAGTGAACAGTCAGTGATCAGCAGGTCCCTCCCATTGACTCAGACGTATCTGTGTGAGGTGTTTTCTCACATTCGGCTGTAGGCAAACTGCTGCCGGTAAAGGAGAATTTTCATAAGTGCAACTGCTGACTTAACGTAACCCGACCAATATGTTGCGCTACACAACGTATACCATTCACTGCCCCTTAAAAGACTGTGGTATATGTTTGATCTTCTGAACCATAGCCCATGACATTTTTTTTTTCATTTCTCTGCTGACACAAGCAAGCCAGAATTACAGCCTGTGACATGCACACCTTTACTTTTGGACTAATTAATCAGACAAAATCCCAGGCTAAGATAGTGGGTTTGGATTTTTATCATTATTATTGTTACATATTATTAGGAAAAGCTGAAATCCGGCAGCGACTTCACCTGCTGAATCTTCTGGTAGGCTTCAATGCAGTTAAACCAGGCCAACACTGGACCTTTGTCATCAGTGGAACCTCTTCCATAGAGTTTACCTGTGAAGAGAAGAAAATATTTAAGTCCTGCAAAAATAGTCAAATGTTGCCAGATTTTCTCTGAATTTCTGGTTTTCTTATCTGGTTTATTACTCCTGTATTTGATTCCTGTTTTAAAATCTTCTTTTTACACTGATCAAATATTTCATGTCATATAAACTAAAGTAGTCTCTCTTATTTGTACTGCTGTGATCACTGCCCTAAACCCTGTAAGCTTGTGATCTATGACACTTACAGATTATACGTCATGTTTTAGTGGTTTAAAAAAAAAAAGGCACGGCAGAAAATTTAACCTGACGTGAGCAAGAACAGGTTCAGCTCTGTTCTTGCTTACGTCAGGTTAAATCAGGAAGTGGATGTGGGTGTTCCTGTCTGCTGACTGTCACCAGTGAACACATGACAGCATTTTGATTTTGGTTTAGGAGAGGAAAAAAAATGTTTTTTTTAAACAAAAGGAAGTAAAATGTTTATTTAAATGACAGTTTTATAGTAATACTAGAATACACAGGATAAACTATGTTTCAAAGTTTTACCATAAACAATTTGCACAACAATGTACAGTATGAAAGTAAGACTGAAGGTGATTTAAGAACAACATCTCAGTCGTTCAATCCAAAACTCTATCATGGTAAAATATAAAAAGCAAAAGGTGCTTGAATTACAAACTAAAGAGATATTTTAAGAAAACACCACTGAATACATTTTGTACTATTATCACTCTGTTAAATGTTTTAATTCAGCTCTTTCTGTCATTGAAAACTTCAGCTTTTGAATGAATTGGCTTTGGTTTAACTTGACCTGGAAATCTGGTGAGCAGATAAGACCTGGACTGATTAAGAACATAGCTCATTCCTCAGCTGGACTTTGGAGCACAGAGTCTTGCACACATGACTGATAACATGAAACATAAAACATGCAGTATAAAAAAAGGTTGGTGTAATAATAATAAGTGCCACAGGAATACAACACTGCATATATCCATCTTCAATATCACTCCAGATACTGTAGAATCTGCTCATCTTTCACCTAAAGTGAAAGAGGTATTGGCATAACAGAAAGTGAAGAGCAGTCAACTGTGGAATTTATTACACCCTGTCTCTTGTTACATGACAACAGAAAAATATGAAAGCTCCTTTCAGCATGGTAGTGATTGGATTTGGTGAGTCAAATCTAGAACAACAGAAAATCACGCTCTTACCATCTTTCTCCACCAGAGTGAAAGGCTCTGTATCCCAGCCGTCTTCAATATTAGCTGGCTGCACGTCAAGGTGGCCGTAGATGCAGATGGTCTTTTTACCTGGGTCTGAACCTAAATGCCCCAAAATGATGGGGGGCAGAGGGATTTCCTCCCCAGAAGGCAACTGCAGGAATAAAATCAACGTTTTAATAATAATAATAATAATAATAGTGAAATCATGTTAAAAAAAGAAACCCAACACATTAGCATGAGTCTTACTGTCTGTTTTCCAATGTCCACCATCTCTACTGTGCCCCCCAGTTTCTCAATATCCTTGGCAGCCATTTCCATCATTGTCTTGATCAACCCACGTTTCTCTGGCCAAGCAGACACACTCTGGACTGCGACCCAATCAGCAAGACGCTAGAACATCAGAACATATCACTGATATTATACCTCTACTGTATATGAAAAGCATTAAAACTGGCATTTTGATTCATTTCAACTCTACTGTGTATTGGAGGTAAATTTAGAGCCATCTCACCTGCACGTACAAATCCTGGTTTTCGTCCACATATTTGAAAAGTGCTGTGAGATGAGCCATGTTTGTCAGCCACAGGAAGAGCTGAGGATTCAACAAGCAGAATGGTGTAAAAAGTTAAACCTCAAACCCAGTGCTCTTTTATAGGTGGACCAAAAACACGCCCTCCTGCAGATATCATGGATGACAGACCTCCTTCCTCATTGTCTTACATTTACAGCAGGGATATTTAAAATCATCAAATTATTTGTATCTTTAATTTATTTTGTATGGTTTATCTTTTTGTTATTGTATAGCAAGTGATCACGATTCATTTCAAACGTATTACTTTAAAAAAATATATAATAATTTAGTCACTTGAAGTGAACAGTACCAGTGTGACACAATGGCTAAGACACTGTGACAATTGTGTTTTCCTTGTTTCGCTTTCCTTTGTAAGAAAGCGCGACATTTGGAAATGACGAATAAAATAACGTTGTTGTACTCTAATTTAAAATATGCCGAGCAATAAATCAGATTACACATTTTCATTACATGCGAAAATAATGATTTGCAATAGCTTATATATTCATTTTTAAATAGGTGCGAAGCACCACCTGCTGGCGACAAATTTACATGCCCTACGGTACCAAGATAAGAGGTAAAAAAATGCAGACAACATATAGGGATTTGCACATACAGTGTATTTGATTTGTTTATTGCTGTTGTTTTTGTGCACACATTTATTCATTAATTCGACTCACTTACTACGTACAGGGGAAAGAATCAACCAGAAACCGAAACATATTTACTCTGCAGAAGCAGAAATCACGTTACTTTTTCATTAATAAAAAAAAAAACAAAAAACAACAACAACTAAAAGAGAGTTATCGTCTATTAAAAACGTAATTTAGCCGATTTGTCGTTGTCAGTGGCCTAATATTTGCAGGCAGCGAATATTGGTCCACACACTTTCCACACACACTTTCCTTTTAGAAGTATAGCAGGTGAACAAAAGCAAGCAACTGTCGACAGTGTTCTAGTGAACTCTGTGCTGAGTTATGACAGTGTTAGCACTGTGGCTAACCCGGTTTTACCCGGCATCAATAGTTTGTTATTATAACATGTTGTACATTTAGTTAGCTTGCTAGCTCAACCGGCTAACCTTTGCCACATATATATGATAAAAATGTTTTTTGTAAATAAATGACTTACGTATATTTAGTCCTAAACCGTTAATTCCACTCGTGACGTGGATCCGCTCACATCTGACAGACGTCCGTGGCGCAGACAAGAGGCACAGTTGAAAGAAAAGTCAATGAGCAGAGTATTTGAAGGGAATGCACATCACAACAGTCTGTCGTCATTCAGCATGTCATTGGCTCAGATAAAGACGGCGTAAAGATCCAATAAAAAGCTGTTAAAACGTTACGTATGTGCTCCAAATATCAAGTAGTACTCTAATTTGCATATGTATATTTTCTGTTATATATACATAATATTGTAATATTGCATTTCTGTTGGATTTGCTGTTTTTTTTATTTCCATTTCTAATGTTTTTTTTATTTTGGATAGTTTTACGATATGCTCTGAATAAAGTTTTTTAAAGACGGCGCAAAGAATTATGGGTGATTTGCAAACGCTTTGTCATCCACAATTCAGAGACCCTGAAATAGG